TTACTTTTCATCTGAATTAATGAATAATGTTATTGCCAAATAAACAGGCCCTTAGTGGAAATGTAAAAAAAATGCTCTGTTCTATCCATACGGAGTACAAAAATATGAGAGTTGAAGTGGTTAAGGATCTAATCACCCAATAGAGGGTCAAAACGTTTTTTAGGATCATCATTCAATACCTGGGTCAAAAAGTTTGATAAAGATCCATTAAAAGAATAGCTGGGTCAAAAAATTTGGTAAGGATTCAAACATCTCATACTTGGCTGAAGCACTATTATCATATTGATAAGAAGAAATGTCAGATTTATTAACTGGATAAATCATTCCAAAGTCTGCTGTAATTCCATTTTATGATGCGAGTTTAGCAAAAAAATTATTTTGTAAATATAGGTATTGCCAGTGGATACCAATTCCAGAGTGAACCAAAATAAGCGCATAAAAAATTAGAATATAGCGTAATATAAACATTTTGCAGTAAAGTACTATCAGGTTGATTTACAAATACTGTAGAGTGCAAAATCTGGTGCAGCTGTGCATGGTAGCCAATCAGCTTCTAACTTCAGCTTAGGTTTGACAATAAAACCTGGAAGTTGATTGGTTTCTATGTAGAGCTGCACCAGATTTTGCACTCTCCAGTTTTAGTGAATCAACCCCTGTATGTCATATGTTTTTCTTAGTTTTAGAGTGGGAAATGGTTGCGACCCCTGTCAGGTGTACTGCTTTCTGGGACTTTAGAAGATTTATGCTCATGTTCTGTCCTGCTGGCAATATTCAACCAGACAAGAAGTGAGGGTCCCCCAAAAGCAAATAGAAATAAAATGCTTTTCTTTGGTAAAATGGGGGAACACTAGAACACAGTTTTTGTTTCTGCCTGTGTCTCTTTCGCAGATTTCCCTTCACAATTCCTGTTTGGTGAAACCATTCAAACCTGACAATTTAACAATGGTGATTTGTTTATGTCTTTACAGATCTCACATAAGGCAGATTAGTATGTTGTAGTCCCAATGCATTACCTAATAAACATCTATTGATGTGACCTTTTCACATTCCATTTACACAGCCCAGCAAGGAATATTTTATCACAAACATAATGTCAGTGTGTGGGCTTGATGATCTTTATTCCATTTGTAATCAATACATAATAAAACGCTATATTTATTGTTAAAGATACACATTACTGTCAGCTCTGAATATGATGCTTTGAAATGCATGTGGGCAACACGGCCTTCCTGCTTGTGCCTATTATCTTTTTCAGGCAGTGCTGTTCTGCACAAACCATCCCTTTTCTCATTTTTTTGGTCTGATAACCCCCTAATAAACCTCTTTATAATTCAGAAGAGAAATTCCTACACATTGTCCTTGTAGTAAGTATGTAAAATCTCCCAGACAATTCTTCTATGAAGATTTTCAAAGCCACCAAAGTCTAACCTGCATTGGATGTTGGAAATTCGTTGTTAATACATCAGGAGGAGAGAATAGATGTCACAGGCTTAGGATGCAGACCCTCCCACTATGTATGAAAATTGCTGCAAAAGATTACAGAGAACTCAATTTATGATAAACTGAGTGGACTTTAATTTTAGCACGCCTACACTAGTAACTGGAAAACTCTAGAAGTACACTGACTAGTTTCAATTGTTACCTGGAACTTCTCTTTGAAGGGAACCTGTATTGAGATAATATGGAAGCTGCAGTTGGAGCTCTCCTGAAATGTATTTATTACAGGTAGTTATATAGTGCCATCAATTTACACAGTGCTTTACATAAATATTGTACATTCACATCAGTCCCTAACTTTCAAGGTGTGTACAATTTAAGGTCCCTAACTCACATTCCTACTAGGGCCAATTTAAAAATAGGAGCCTTTTAACCTACCAGCATGTCTTGGAGTGTGGGAGGAAACCCACGCAGACACAGGGAGAACATGCAAACTACATGCAGGTAGTGCCATAGTTGGGAGTAGAACTGATGACCCTGGTGCTGCCAGGCAGAAGTGCAAACCACTTAAACACTGTGCTGGCAGAATTGTCAGTTGCCTAGCTGCCTGACGGATTTAAGACTTCCTGAGTCACTGACCTGGAACAAACATGCAGATAAGGAGATCTTACATCTCCCAGAGACCCTAAGTATTTAATATACAGACAGTCAGGCAAATTATTTTTCTAATGTGACCCTGTTAAATGTGTATGGCCTGTTTCACATGGGAGATACTTAACTGTTTGCCATTAAGAGTCGTGTTTATCTGCATGGGAATGGACAGGTGTTCTGTGCATTCCCATGCAGGCAGTCCCATGACTCCTTGATGCATTCAGGTTCATGTACTCACAGAGAGATCACATTGGGAGCAGTGGCTGTGTGCCCATGCAACTGATGTGTTCCAAATGACAGCCATGGGACTGCCTGCATTGGGTGCACGGTACGCCTGTGCATCCCTGTGCAGTTAAACACAGGCTTCCATAGGCGTATGGTTATGTACACCGTGTGTACGAGGCCTAAAGCATCTTCTTTTAAAATATACTCAGCTGGTGAGGGTTTTTTAATGATCTTTTACCCAAAATCAAAACAATCAATATTAGTAGAGTCAGCCCCCCAAAATTCTATTATGGTAATCTTGGATGGTTGTGCTCATCAATCTAACTTGGCAGACTGATGATGGAAATTGGTTATTCCTTAATATGTAATTTACTGAGGTTTGTTATGTGTATTATTATGATTTTCTTTTGCTCTTGATCAAAATAGGTGTGTATGTGTGTGCATATAAAACATATTAAAACAGTGTCGTGCAGTACTTAATATACTCAACAGCAGATAAATCAATAGATGATAAATCATACATATCCTGTTAAATACACAATATTTATTAAAAATAAAACATTAACCAAAAGTCCAATGTGTCCATTTTTTAAAATTACACATAATCACAAAACGTGAATGTTCATAGGACAACGTGCAAAGATTCTTTGAAAAAAAAAAAAATCTTTTGAAATTCCACTGACAATAAATCTCTAGGATGTTTATTTCACCACTTGCCCATATCCCATCACCAACACACTTATGCTGCCATGTGCTTTACCCTTTAAGTAGGGGACACATAAACCATGGCTGATCTCCTTACTCCAGTGCCCAGATGTTCTTCAATCCATCTCCATCCTCAGCAATCCTTTGGCCAAATTTAATATGGAACTAATGGTCTCTTGGTCTTTAGGTGCAATAAGTATTTGCTAAAGTTCACTTCTATAGAGGTTCCCACCATCTTGTCTTCAACCTGTATGAGGTCATCTCCAGGTTCTGTGTGATGAGACTCATCCATCTTTGATCCATTTATGTGTGTGCATATGTGTACTTGTTAGCAGACCTGCTTGTGTGCATTTTGGTTGGTTGTTACATTACTACAAAATGGAAAAAATAAACACCTTTAAAAAAAGGTGTACAAAGAAAGCACATCTCTAAATAAGAGTTGACCATGATAAGCATGTTGACTGTAAAAAAAATTTCCCCAAAGTCTTCTGGGAAGCCAAAACTTTCAGGAGTGTCAATCTATTAGGTTCCTCACAGGTCTTACTCATTCCTCTTGCTGACCTACTTTTTACTGCTGTATCCTGTAGTGATCTGAAGGTCAGCAGAATGAACCAGTGAGAGCTTCAGGGGACCATGGGGATAAACACTGGCAGTTTCCTAGCAAACTTTTTTGGACTATTTCTCACAAATAAAGTGGAGATCACCAGTGTGGGCAGTAGGGAAGGGACATATTCCATCTTCTATTTACTGGTACATGCTTAATTTATACAGTATGTTTCACTTATATGCTTTATATGGATGTTGGCAATAGCAGCCATTGTATTTCTCTCAGTGCAGTGCAATGCTTTGAATATTATCTGTTCATGAACACAGCACAATGTTTACTGGATAGCATTTGCAGTATACTGAATAGTTATACTTCCTAGAATTCCTCTTCTCTTCAGGACATAGAGCACCCATTCGTCTTTTCAGTAAGGCACAATACAATTTATTGTTGTGAGACTTTGAGTTGTTGAATAGCAGGGACAATGAATAATCATATATCTTTGAAAATATAGGAATGTAATTATATTTTTGTTATCTTTCTTGAAGTATCCATGTTTTGGCACTTACCGATTCTTATTCTGTTTATAGCTAATAATTATATCATAACTTGTCACGAAAAAGAAATTTCAATTATAGCCTTTCCTGCAATGTAAAGGAATTGTGTGATCAATGAAAACTTTTTTGACAATTACATTTTGCACTGCCTACACATATTTTTTTTTTTTTTTTGAGCTGTGCAGACATCAGTTTATTTCTATTAATGTCTCTTGTACAATATAGCCTTTTAATTCTTAGATGGGGTGGCTGCATTAAACTCCTTTTATCAGGCTTTTTCCTTTATTTTCACCTCGTGATTGTGCGAACAACACTCTACCTATTCATTTGGTGGGCAATGCCCACTCCTCCATTGTTGTCATCCAGGTTGTTCTACTAATTTGAACTACATATAGATCTTCCTTTATTCATTTTATCTTGGAATTAATAATTTGCAGAAGATAGCTTGGAAGGGAAAGGAGAGTGCTTTAGAGTGGCACCAGTGCAGGACCAGTCAAACGAATGGAGGAAACCTGCTGGAGTTAGGAATAACGTAAGCATTGCTCCTTATTCTGTGCCCCTTAGACAAACATTTAACCCCTGCAATGTAGAGGCCCCCATTGCAACGGTATTTTCTTCCAAAACAGAGCTCAATTTTATGCTTATTTTAGTACAATTATGACTCTAGTGAATGTTGACACTGTCTCTTTTCTGAACTCTATTCTGTGAAGTCTAAAATGCTATCCCCCCCAACAATCTTTAACATATCAACAGAAAGGGCAGATATTTTAAGGCAGGGCTTGAAATTTCCACTGGCCTGCTCGCAAATGGCGAGTGGAAATTATGGTGGTGGCGAGTGTGTCCCCCAGGGCCGTCTTGCTGAGCAAGCTCGGAGCTCAGGCCGGATCTGTCATTGGCACTGGGAGCCTTCAGACTGCTCAATAGCTGAGCGCAGTGAAAGCAAAGCAAGGAGTGTGTGTTGTGCTCTCTGCCTCCCCCTAGAGTGCAGTACTCGGATCTGTGAGTGAACAACGAAGTACTGCAACTTTTTATGGGGTGTGTGTGTGTATGCATGTACTATTGTACTTGTGTCTGTGTGTATGTACATGTGTGTATCTGTACATGTGTATGTACATGTATGTGTGTGTGTACATGTGTGTTTGTGTGTATGTACGTACATGTGTCTGTGTATGTATGTACGTGTGTCTGTGTATGTAGGTACATGTGTCTGCGCGTGTGTATTTCTGTGTATGTACATGTATCTGTACGTGCCTGTGTGTGTATACATGTGTCTGTATGTGTGTGTGTACATGTGTCTGTGTGTACATGTTTGTGTGTATGTGTGTATGTACATGTCTGCGTGTGTGTACAGGTGTCTCTGTTTGTGTGTGTTTGTTGGTGGTGAATAACTCTGGCTAGTAGCCCAGGACTTGAAATTTTAAGCCCCGCTAAGGAGTCTAGTTATAAAAAATTAACTTTGCACATTTTTTAACATTTGTGCAAGTGTAAGGAATAATATCCATAACTTTTGTAATATGTGTGCAATAGTTTCCTTGTTCACTTGACAAATGTAACATTCCCTAACATTCAGTCCTATGAAAAAATAGCTATAAGAATATGCGACCATAAGAGTTAATATTTACCAATAGAGAAAATAGCCTAAAACTATATTCTAAGAACACTCAACCAGCAGGGGAATAAGATGAAGGAGATCTATGGTGAATCTTGTGCAAACTGCCAAATGTATGAATACCACTGCTAAATGTAACAGATTCTTCCTGGTTGTTAGGAAGCCAGCATTTACCATCATCCTAACAACCAGTAATTCATCCTAGCTTGACACATTCAGCTATCAGTCAGGATTTCTGATTTCCCCAAAATTCCCTTTAGGTCTGGAATAAGTTTTAAGAATGGTCCCATGAAAAAAAGCATGCCCCCTCCTCCCAAAATCCATACCAGACCCTTCAAGTCTGGTATTGCCTTTAAATGGGAACCACGTGCAACCTTTATATGAGCATGTGCTAAAAATAGAATATATAAAGCACAGTTCATCAGATACATCCCCTTTCTTTCTGAGTTCTACAGGTATGTATAAGGATACTTGGGATGCGAGCCAGTACTGTTCTCTTCCAACATAGGAGTGGGAGAGCAAGAAGTATATTTTCTCTAGTAGAAAAGGCGTTTTAAACAAACAAAAATCAGTTACAAATCATAATATTTTGAACTCTAAAGAAAAAAAGTTGAGACGTCAATAAGGCTTTAATCATTTAATGAAAAAATAGTGCCATAGCTCATATCTATATCCTTTGTTTCTGTATACTGTTAAGACACAGTAAAGAATGCCATCAAGGTGATTTAAAACATAATAAAATAAGTAGTAAATTATGGTAAAGCATACTATTCAACTTGTAATCTATTTTTGTAGGTGAGTGACCATATTAGAGTTACATGATATTGAGTTCTTAATGGCCAGATGGCATCATTACGCATTTAATCTTTAATGACTGTGATTTCTTTTGCAAAGTAACAAAGGATTAAAGAAAAAAGAGGTCACAAAAATTACAGCATAGGAACTTTAGGGATATAAGCATGCTAGAAAAACTGTGTCAGGTTTTTAAAGGATAAAGGTTTTGAAATTCTCTTTTCAACAGTATAACTTCTAATATACACAAATACTTTAAGTTGTGTTAATTTACCATAAAGCATGTTTAATGAGTGTACAGTGATATTAGGCAGTCAGGACGAACAGGTTTAGTGTAACTTCTTGCATTGCCCTGTGCTCCCTCCCACTAATTGCATTGCCCTGTGCTCCCTCCCACTCATTGCATTGCCCTGTGCTCCCTCCCTCTCATTGCATTGCCCTGTGCTCCGTCCCTCTCAGTGCATTGCTCTGTGCTCCCTCTCATTGCATTGCCCTGTGCTCCCTCCCTCTCATTGCATTGCCCTGTGCTCCGTCCCTCTCAGTGCATTGCTCTGTGCTGCCTCCCACTCATTGCATTGCCCTGTGCTCCATCCCTCCCTCTCATTGCATTGCCCTGTGCTCCCTCCCTCTCATTGCATTGCCCTGTGCTCCCTCCCTCTCATTGCATTGCCCTGTGCTCCCTCCCTCTCATTGCATTGCCCTGTGCTCCCTCCCTCTCATTGCATTGCCCTGTGCTCCCTCCTCTCATTGCATTGCCCTGTGCTCCCTCCCTCTCATTGCATTGCCCTGTGCTCCCTCCCTCTCATTTTGCATTGCCCTTGTGCTCCCTCCCACTCATTGCATTGCCCTGTGCTCCCTCTCTCTCCCTCTCATTGCATTGTCCTGTGCTCCCTTGTGCTCCCTCCCTCTCATTGCCCTTGCATTGCTCCTGTGCTCCCTCCCTCTCATTGCATTGCCCTGTGCTCCCTCCCACTCATTGCATTGCCCTGTGCTCCCTCCCACTCATTGCATTGCCCTGTGCTCCCTCCCTCTCTTTGCATTGCCCTGTGCTTCGTCCCTCTCTTTGCATTGCCCTGTGCTCCTCCCTCTCATTGCATTGCCCTGTGCTCCATTGCTGCCCTGTGCTCCCTCCCACTCATTGCATTGCCCTGTGCTCCCTTCCTCTCATTGCATTGCCCTGTGCTCCCTCTCATTGCATTGCCCTGTGCTCCCTCCCTCTCTTTGCATTGCCTTGTGCTCCCTCCCACTCATTGCATTGCCCTGTGCTCTGTCCCTCTCATTGCATTGTCCTGTGCTCCCTCCCTCTCATTGCATTGCCCTGTGCTCCCTCCCCTCTCATTGCATTTCCCTGTGCTCCATCCCACTCATTGCATTGCCCTGTGCCCCTCCCACTCATTGCATTGCCCTGTGCTCCGTCCCTCTCTTTGCATTGCCCTGTGCTTCGTCCCTCTCTTTGCATTGCCCTGTGCTCCTCCCTCTCATTGCATTGCCCTGTGCTCCCTCCCTCTCATTGCATTGCCCTGTGCATTCCCCTCATTGCATTGCCCTGTGCTCCGTCCCTCTCTTTCCATTGCCCTGTGCTCCGTCCCTCTCTTTGCATTGCCCTGTGCTCCATCCCTCTCTTTGCATTGCCCTGTGCTCCCTCCCTCTCATTGCATTGCCCTGTGCTCCCTCCCTCTCATACATTGCTTTTAGGGGCCATGATTTGAATAGCCAAGAGTGTGTAGTAATGTCCTATTGATTGTTTAAAAGAATGTGTAATTAGAATAGAACAGTGGATATTAAGATCAGACACTGGGGCTGATTTACTAAAGGAAAATACGTTAACGTTTCAAGGAAGTTGCACTTTGCAAGGGAACTTTCCCCAAGATTACTGAATGTGATCATTTCACTTTGCAAAGAATACTCAATGAGATGCAAGGAAACAAAAAAAAAAAAAAAACATTTTGCTGGCACATTTTGGCTGAAACAACTAATGGATATAATCAATTATATTTTTTTTTCACTACCAGGTGTATATGCCATACGGACCTGACAGCAGGGGGTTTTATACACAATCCAGTGGCTGCAGCCACCTAGATTGCATATAAAATTGACAGGCAGGTTCCTGCTTGTCAAGTGGAAGAAGACAGGCGGCTCTGCTGTCGCTGATCACTTCCACATCCCCCGATTCCACTACCCCCCCTCCTTGCAGGAGCGCTCCCGCCATGTAACCGGGCTTCGCTTGCCCATCTGCAGGCCTAAAGAGAGCCATGGTGGGTGCCAGCAGCTGAAGGGGAAAGAGGAGAGTGGACGCTCTCCTCCCCATCTTTGTGTGACCTGGAAGGTGACGTCCATGATGTCACTTCCCGATCACGGCTGTCACTTTCCTGGCTAGAATAGCCAGAAAAAGATGCATTATAATGCAGTTTGCATTGCAATACATCTAATGGAGCCCAGAGGAGACATGCAGGGTCTTTTAGACCCTGTATGTCTCAATAAAGAGAACCTGCCACCAAACAATCATCATATAGGGGACTTTGTGTTCCCTATGTGATGAAAAAAAAAGTTAAGCAAAAACTAAATCCAAAATAAAAAAATAAAGTTACACCTAGGCAAATAACATCCCCCACAAAAAAATGTTGAGCCCCCCACATATACGCACGTATGAACTTAAATGCATGTGTCAGGGCACCTACATGTGAAATTGTTGATTGCTATACACGTTACATATCGCCACGCACGCTAGAGTGAGAGCAATAATTCTAGCACCAGACCTCATTCGTAATGCTAAACTGATGACCTATAGAGGCTTTTGAAGCATTGTCTATAGAAAATATAGGGTACTGAAGTTTGACGCAATTTCATAGGTGCACACAAATTTAAGGTTTGGCATGTTGGGTATTCATTTACTCGGCACAGCCTCATCCTTTATGTTTGTTTTACCAAAAATGTGGGTAATTTATTGTGTTTCTTTGCCCTAAAATTCACTTTAGTGTGATTTTTGCTGACATTTTGTGTTTCCTAGATCTTTGCAATAATATCGTGTGACATACAAAATTAGAACTACCATTATTTTATTCTCTAGAGTGTCTGCTTTCAGAAAATATATAAGGTTTTGGGGGTTTTGTGTAATCTTCAGGCCTAAAATGATTTTTAATCATGTGTGCAAAAAAGGCAAAAAACAGCTCTGGCAGCGAAAAGGTTCAATAAAATATTGATCTTTGAGTCTGATGATTCAACCTCCAACAGTATGTACAGTACATTTCTTCTGTCTGTTATTCTCAGAGTGGATTAGATATTAATCTAACCATAAGAATAAATGTGTCTTGTTTAAAACTTTACATATTAACTAAATTATACACCACATTTTTTTTTGAGGTTTCTATACGATTAATCCATTAATCAAAACGATAATAGGCCAACGAATCGATTAAGAAAATAATCGGTAGTTGCAGCCCTATTGTACGTAATTAAATGATAGAAGTCAACAGAACTTCATTACATTCACTAAGCTATGGGGCAAAATCCCTTACAAAACACAGCATCTGTTGCAAAGTGAACAGCATTTTTGATTTTAGTAAATCGATTCCAATGAGTATACATTTTGACTTGAACAAAAGGAAAAAAATAACTATGAATGTAGCTCAATAAGTCATAAACTAGCAGGTGTGGCTTTTTTGTAGAGGGTATGGATATAAAAGGGATATAAAAGGGGGTGTGGCTTGTTTTTGTAGGGGGTATGGATATAAAAGGGGGTGTGGCTTGTCACATCGGTTTGTGGAATATCCACTTCTTGGTGAAAAAAAAAAAAAAGCAGAATCTTGGTGTAAACGTCTATACATGCAGTTGCCAAGAATGGATTGTTACATTTTTACTGATCACTGTTGCATGTTACTGGAAAGACGGCCATACTATTAGAAACTCTATAATGCTGGAGGCACTGCTGTGTCAGAGAAACTGGCAAGTTATTAGAGCTGATTCCAAATGCAGGAAAATGCGAT